CATTTGATCCATACAATATATTCTTTGGCTATTGCCAAACTGAAGGCCCGTGCACACCGAGATGTTTTTTGCTTGTGTTTTCCGTTGACGTTTAACACCTTGTGCCTAAATAAAGGGCGTCAATGGACTAAATAAAGGGCGTGCACACTAAAGCGCAAAACTCATGCTCTGCTATCGTCCTTGTTTTTTGTTTTGTTTTGACGTGCCGCGTTAAACCCTTCTCCACCAATCAGATCGGCACTTTTGTTCACGTGCACGAAGCTGCTGAAGTTACAGATAACAGCACTTGGAGACGATCAAGTGCAAAACTGTCAATGCAAGCGCACATTGAAGAAGATGCCGAGAGGCGATATGAACATGGAGCTGCTTATTGGCCTTGTGAACAAAAATCATTTCTTCATCGCTAGAGCTGAAGCTGCTGCTTGAACCATCCATGCTTGATCGAGTCACCAGTAACTTTAACAACAAGCGTTTGAACTTCCTTTTGTCCTCTTCTTCCATGGTATAAGCGGGTGTTAGAAGCTTAAAGTTCTAACGTCATCTAACGTCAAAAAGTGATTTTGCATACTCTTCAGCTTGACGCCAGTGAAAAGCGCTTGGGTTTGGATACGAAAAAACGTCTCGTAAAACGCTGACGATAAACGCAAACGAAAAGCGTTCCGGTGTGTAGGAGCCTTAAGACATGAGTTTCTCCAGGTCTACAAAAAGTACAGTGGTAACACTTTAAAATAATGGTCCATTAGTTAATGTTTTCCTAATGTATTTACTAACATGATCAAACAATTAGCAATACATGTATTAATATACAATTTGGTTAACTTTAATGATATTTAAGTTAAATAATGTTAGTTCATGTTAACTCTCTGTGTATTAATTAATGTTAACAAGCACAACTTTGAATTTTAACAATGCCTTAGTAAATGTTGAACTACGATTAATAAATGCTTTTCAAGATAATGTATATTCAGTTAATGTTAATGAATACATTTACCATCATTAACCATTTTCACTATTTTTCTAAAGTGCTGCGGTAACACTTTACAATAAGGTTAATTAGTTAATGCACTTACTAACATGAACTAATCATGACCAACACTTGTACAGCATTTATTAATCATAACTGAACATTTACTAATGCATTATTAACATCCAAGTCCATGCTTGTTAACATAAGTTAATGCACTGAGTTAACATGAACTAACAATGAACAACTGTATTTTCATTAACTAACGTTAACTAACATGAACAAATATTGTAGTAAATGTATTGTTCATTGTTTGTTCATGTTAGTAAATGCATTAATTAAGATTAACTAATGAACCTTATTGTAAAGTGTGACCGGTGCTGCCAATATGGTTCTGGTAATGACAGCAAGGAGAATCACTGTAAGTGTGTGTGCTATTTTGACATTTTCTTTGGATTTTTGTTTGCGGTAGAACAAAAAGCAACAAAAGTCACTGGAGATGTTGGAGAAATCTTTAAAAAACTCTCTCACAATTAATCATTCTTTAGGAGAAAATCCATAAGCAACGTCAATTATTTTGTTTTTGTTTTTTTATTTCAGACTCCATCAATCTCAGACAACAGCAAGTCTGCTGGTCCAGTGACTATTTACTGCACCACTGTGAATGAACCAGACCAGCCCAAACCTAAAACAGAAACCACCATGTATGCTGTGGTCGAAACTCATTAAGACATTAAGGGTCTTACTGTTGAAGCAATAAGACACAAGACCTGTTTGCCCCAACGTGTTGCTATTTTCAGACCAACCCAACCTTAATTTTCCTGTTTTCCGCCACGTTGTTTTAGGGTAATTTCACACCTGCCTTATTAAGTTCGGTTGAATCGCACCAGAATTAATTTTCTCTCTTGGTACGGTTCGTTTGGGCAGGTGTGAATGTAGCAATCGTACTCGAGTGCGCACCAAAAGCGGACCAAAAAGGTGCACCGAAACCTCCTTGAAGAGGTGGTCTCGGTACGATTTCATACGAACCCTGGAGCAGTTTGTTTGTGGTGAGAATATAATCCAAACTAAAACAGGCCCAACAGCAAAAAGTACTGTGCCTTTTTGGACTAATCCAGCAGCCGTAGGCCGATGCGCTGCGCATTATAGAATGTGGAGGAAAATAATTGTTGACAACGCTTTAGCAACATAGAATAAGTGAGGGAAAACATTACCTGATGGATTGTTGGTAATATTTCCTGAAGATGACTATGTCGCAGTTTAGTTAAATTAATTCATGCCTCCTGAAGTGACCTGCAATGCGCCATAAAACTTTTTCAGCGGCAGCCGCACTTTGTTTTCGAAAGGTATAGTTGAATTAAAGTGATGTATACAAACTATATAGTATACTATGAGCAGGCATACAATCAGTCAGCGCAGTCGTAGCTCAACAGTCAAAAGCGATATTTTGTGTCTGCCGGTTTGTTTACTTGCGGGAGTTCTATTGGCATTCTCGGACCAAATGAACTGAAATACAAATGTGAAAGCACCCTAAATAGCAAATCTACTTACACCACTTCATGGACTCATGAATCTTTGCTCTTAACAAACAAAATTATTTATGTAAGCTAATGGATGTCTGCGCTTAGCCTACAAAACTGTTTCCTTATTCACGAAAGAGAGAAAGAGAAAGTAAAAATAAAGAGGGTGAATGGAGGAGGCTAATTCTTTATGCTTTTGCTGCAGATGGTCTGTTTAACTGTTTTCTCGCTAGTGAAGCGTTCAATTTTTTTTAACTTACAAAGTCCGCCATGTAAATAGCAAATGCGCCATGGTGCGACTCAACTGACTCTTAATGGGAGAGAAGACTCTGATTGGCTTATTTTCAAAATACACCCATGACTCCCATGAATATGTAACTTAGTTTATACATATAAAATTAAATAATAATAATAGTTTAAAGCCTGGGTGCTTGTCCACAGAGAGCTCTTATTTTAAGGGCTACGTCACAAGCTCAGATTTGGTTGACCAATCAAAGGAAAGTTGGCGTTTCAGCACCGCCTACATGTGTATAATGAATTTTGAAATCGGTTATCCATTTTCCTACCCTAAATTTTATAAAAAATGAAAATGGAGCCAAATGTAATTTTTTTTCGATTCTAGTGAGCAAATGAAAAACAGATAAACGGCCGTTTTCTTCATTTTCCTTTTTTTTTTTTTGAAAACGGATATGGATTGGACGGAAGATACCCTGATTTAAGGAGACAGTCTACTAGTATTCAAATGGGCCATCAAAATAAAGCGTCACCATATATTTTAATACCTCTGTTTAATGCTCGCAACACTGTGGAACTGCTGAGCAAAGCCACTACGTAGTATTTCTATGTATCACCTGGAGTGATGTCATGAAGCGCAAACTTGGCCTCCACCTATGCGAACCATGTCGCAGCTTGCTGCTCCCAAAAACTCCAGAAACTTAACAGCGACTGCATTGGCCATTGTCTCGTAAACGTTGACAAAAATACTCCAAATGTCTCAGGGCTACCAAATGTAGGCATTAAGTGAAAAAAATAAAAACAAAAGACATCACATGTGGGATGAAAACATTTTGAACGGAACGCTTTATTAACTTTCTCAGAATCCTTTCTTAACGGGGGAAAAACCACTTCGTCACTTCCAGCTCAGAACTCTTAAAAAGAGGAAACACATCAAGAACAACTCATGAATTCTGTCACATGTATAAATCTATTCACTACGATAGATTGTTTTAACCCAAATTTGGTTAAAATAGAGACAATCTAAACAGCTGATCACATTTGTTTTTTGTTTTTTTAACCTATTTGTTGGGTTTGTCCATATTTCACTTAAATTTAAGATGAAGTAACCTGCCATTTTTCAGAGTAGTTATTTGACTAGACCAAAAAGCCTGCATCTAAAAGGTCTAAACATTTCGTAGATAGTTGTTATTTATAATTTATCCTGGCAACAGTTAAACGTCAAAGATGGCTTGACGGAACACTGGAAAAATATGTTTCTTTAATGTAATGCAAGTCATATTGGATAAAAGTATCTAGCAAACATCTGAATGTAACTGTGCCCCATGCGGTGGTGACAGAAGTATTTTAACTCAGACACAATTGCTGTGTAATGCAACTGTTGTTCAATCCTCTGTTTTGAACACCAGTGAATGGACTGTGGGTTGTTTTAATGTGACATTTAGGAACTTTTGTTCATGTGATTCAAATAGGAAAATCTCACATGGTTTCTGCTTTAAAACTCCTCTGTCCTCACCACCTTTGCTGCTGGCAACACGTTAAAAACCACTTCCTGGAAAGGAGCACTCAAGCTATATATATGAATTATTTTAAATAGATGCTGAGGGCGTTCTTTTGCCCTTTACACCTTTCAAGCCTTTGAAAAGCTATGCAGCGTTGATTACAAATATAGAAAGTGATTATAATTAAATGTATTGAACAAAGGGTCACACTTTATTTTGGTGGTCAGTTTGTTACATTGCATCTACAGGTCAACGGATTCTCAAAAGATTGTAAGTAGACTGGTACTGTAGGTTGAGATAGGGTTAGGGTAAGTTGATATGTACAGTACTTGCAAAGTTTCTTATAGTCAGTTAAATGTCTGTTGAAGGAGCAGTATCAACAGATATTAAGCTGACAGTCTACTAATACTCAACTGGACCATCAAAATTAATTGTTACATCGAGTATATGTCAGAAACGTATTTTTTTCTTAAGAGTTTGTGTATTCTCCCGGTGTTGGCATTGATTTTCTCCTGGTGCTCCAGTTTTCCCACAGTTCAGAGACATGTGTTATAGGTGAATTGAATAAACTAAATTGACTGTAGGGCATGTGTGTGAGTGTGTATGGGGTTTTCCCAGTACTGGGTTGCAGCTGGAAGGGTATCTGCTGTGTAAATCATATGCCAGAATAGTTGGCGGTTCATTCTACTGTGGAGACCCCTGATGAGTAATGTGTATAAACTGAAGGAAAATTAATGGTTAAAAGTTAAGCAATTGAGTGCCAGTTGGCACTACTGGGCCTACTACTGTATGGTGCAATATATAGTAGGCTAAATGTAATGTAACCAATCATCATTGTCTTGTATTATAATATTGTTTAATGAAATGTATTATCTTGTTCTGATGGGTAACTGTTTTAACAAAAGAGATTTATTTTTGATAAATAAATTACTAATTTTGCATTTGCTGACTGCATTTTTTTTATTTAATTATATAAAAAATAAAAAGTAAAACCCTCAGTTATGTTGTCAATATATGAGGAGTTTTGGCTTACATTGATCAGGTATTAAGATAAAATATGGAAGTAACCTGTGAGTCTCCAATTCAAAGAACTCTTCAAACTATTACACCATTTTAATCAAGTCTTAAGTGTTTTGGTTTATTCGGTTAATTGAAACCAAAACTAAAATAAAAAATACAATTTATACACATTTCAAAACGGTCTAAGATAAAATACACATACAAAAATCGTCAGCTTATTTCCATTCCTCAATATTAAAAAATTAAAATCATGAACTGTGTAATTAACCTTGCATGTTTTACTTCCCTTGTAAAAATACTATTTATTTGCATCACGATGATACAATCAAGTAATCTATTCCAATTACCTGAACTAGTACATTAAAAAATACCCATTTAGTTCTAAACTATGGATATATATTACTACAACACACTCTTGTGAAATGATACTGTAGCATTCTTACAAATATATATAATCTGACAAATACTTTCTTCATTTAATTTTCTTAAACAGCATCGCTAAGTGACCCTTTTTAGCTTCCTATATTGTTTTTCTGTCAATTGCATCAGTGGAAGTAGTTTGAGATTTCTAAAAAAATTATTAATAAATTAATTCATAACAAATTAAAGTCAGAATAAGCATCAGCCAACATTTCTCAAGTTTGAATATGTAAAAAAGCCACCTGTCTTGCTAAAAATTAATTAAAGTACAAATCTTTAGTAAACTTCAAGTACAAATGCTTTGAATAAGCTAACAGCCGCCTTCACACCCTTGTGTTCTGTCCTCTGTAAAGTGAGAAACACACACACACACACACAAACACACAAACACACACACACACACACACACACACACACACACACACACACACACACACACACACACACACACACACACACACACACACACACACACACACACACACAAACACACAAAAGTGTGGTCGTAAATTTAAACAATGTTAAGCAAATTCAAACAAACAACTAGAAAAAAAAACTTCAACCACTCTTTTTTTAATTTCCTGCCTTCAGCATGTGTTTGGAGTGGAAACAAAAACAGAACTAAGTGTGACAAAGATGGCAAACCGTGGGTCTGTCATTTTTTTTTTTTTTTTGGCAACAGCACTTTCATTTTTGAAACTACACATCTGTGAATTCACAACCCACGAGACATTTATTGGCAGAAAGGTGACTTTCAAACTAGCTCAAAAGTGTCACTGCAACAGTTATATTTAATAATTATATTTACAATTATAGTGTTATATTTATTTATTTATATTTACAAACATTTTAAGGTGCATTATGGGATTTTCTAATGTCGGTGAGTCTATTCCAGTACAGTGCATAGTAATAGGCCTTTTAGTGTACTTGACATACAGTGAGGAAAGTAAGTATTGTCATGTTTTTTTCCTGGTAGTAATATTTCTAAAGCAGCTGTTGACATGAAATTGAACCAGATTTTTATGAAAACCCAAACAATACAAACATAAAAATAAATATATATATTTTTTTAAATCTGAAAAATTAGCTTTATGTAATAACAAGGCTTTTTTGGTGATGGCAGCTTAAAGACGCCTCTCATTTGGAGAATGAAGTCACATGAATTGCTCAGGTGTGATTTTTTTCAAGACTTTAACAGAGTGTAAAAATCTTGATGGTTCTGTGAGTCTCGTCTATCAAATCTGATCTTTGTTTTGTATTCTCTATTGGATTCAGATCAGGTGATTGGCTGGGCCATTCCACAGCTTTATTTTCTTTCTTTGAAAGCATTTGAAAGTTTCCTTGGCTGTGTTTTGGATCATTGTCTTGCTGAAATGTCCACCCTGGTGTCATCTTCATCATCCTGCTAATGTACACGTTAGACTGAAGCAGCTGATTTTCATTTACAATGATGAAGGGCAAAGGGTTGCTGAAGAACTACTAAGAGATTTCAGCTGCTGTCTGGGCTTTCACTGCCTTTCTACACACAAATTTCTTAATGTGTTCAATACTTTTTCCAGCATCATTTCATTTTATTACACATAACTTAATTTGTAAACTAATAAGATTTTTTTGTGTGCATATATGGGTTTCTTTGGTTGTTACCAACATCCAGTGAAATTTTAAAATCAACAGCACCTTTAGAAATATGTTTTTTGTGATAAACAGTGATGTGTTCAATACTTAATTCCACCGCTGTACATTAAAAGACGCTACAGCCCTGAAAATACATTTAGTTTCAAAATCAACTATTCAAAGGACTTAGGCTGTAATCTTGAAAGACAGTTATTACTAGGGTTAAAAAATCTTTAAAGCTGTTACTCAAAATAAGATGAATAAAAACGTGTCTTACTATAGGCCTCATTTTCCCTAGAGAACAATAAAGTCTTCTTCATCAAGCTCCTTGAAGTCATCATCTCCATCACCATGCTTGTCTTCTGGTTTAATGTTATGTATTGTGAGCAGCTTTGAGAGAGGGTCTCTGCAGAAGGTGAAATTTACTTTCCCATCACTGGATGCTTTACTGCACTTCATCCTACAACATTAAAAAATATTAAAAAATAATCATTTAACTAAAGAGATGCTGAAATGAAAATTCAGGGCCGACAGCAAAACCAAAAATTTGAATATTTTTGAATACACACGCACGCGCACACACACGCACACACACACACACACACACACACACACACACACACACACACACACACACACACACACACCGCCCCCCCTTTGATTCTTTGATAGAAGATTTTTTTTTTTTCTTAAATATTTTCCAAATTATGTTTAACAGAGCAGGGACATTTTCACAGTATGTCTGATAATATTTTTTTCTTCAAGAAATAATAATCTAGAATAAAAGCAGTTTTTATTTTTTAAACACCATTTTAAGGTCAAAATTATGAGCCCCTTAAAGCTATATATATTTTTAAAAGTCTACAAAGCAAACCATCATTAAAAAATAACGTTAAACAGAAATTAATGAAAAAATAAACATGGAGGCTAATAATTCTGACCTCAACTGTATAGATATATACATAGGAAATATCTATCTGGGTGACCCATCAATTATTATATATGCTGCAACCCTTTAATAAATGGTTAAATTAGATTATAAGACAGACCCTGTGATGATGATCCTGCAATGTGAATTCATCTGGGAGCTCTGCAAAATCCTCACAACATCCTCCAACATTAAGCCATTGCTTTCTATGCAGTCAAACCTGAAACATGAAGATGTATTTACATTTTCTATCTCAACTCTAAATAACAAACGCAAACTCTTTAAACCTCCTCATACTGTACCTGATCTCCTGTAGACCGGGACAGACTTCCACTAAAGACAGAATCCTGCTCACCCAGCTCTCTGTTAGATTGCTGATCTTGAATTCAATCCTTTGCAGACCAGGAACACAAAGCAAAGCGGACATCAAATCGCCCACGACCTCTTCACGCTCCTCATAACTAGATTTTAGGGACAAAATGGATTCATTTATTGAATGTTTATTCACAAATTTTGATGAAAACCTGTAAAACGGATATAAAAATAATGGTTACAGCTTGACATACCTCAGATCAGTTACTGACTTAAAATATTTTTTTAAATCTATATGATGGAGAGGCTAACAATAAATCTTCATTTATAGTTTGAGGAACTTAACGAGATATGGAGTAAATAGGTAAATATTCTTATATTAAATAGATAGTTCACCCAATAACGAAACTTCTGTCATCATTTACTCACCTTTTACCTTGTTTTGTCTGGCATTAAAGAGATAGTTCACCCAAAATGAACATTTACTCAATATTTACTCACCCACATGTAGGTTCGAGACATTTATGAGTTTCTTCTGTTGAGTAAGGAGATATTTTTAGAAATGTTGAAAACCTGTAACCATTGACTTCTATAGTATTTGATTTCCCTATTTGTTTTTTTTTTTTATTTGTATTTGGTGAAATTTTTTCTTCGTCACTGTCGCCACTGGCTTGCATCAGGACTTCTGAAGCTGAGCATCGATGGATTTGCTCTAGAGTGTTTAGACTTTCATCAGTGACAATTAAACCACACTAAACTAAACTAAACTGAACTTCAACTCTGAAAACTGCACTCAGAGAGCTTCAATTTACTATAATCTTCTATGTGAAGCTGCTTTGACACGATCTACATTGTAAAAGCACTATAGAAATAAAAATAAATTGAATTGAATATGGAATTCAATAGTTACAGGTTTTCAGCTCTCTTTGTAATGTCTTTAGTGTTCAATAGGGAAAAGAAACTGGAACCACTTAAGGGTGAGTAAATATTGAGTAAAAATCTGGACTTTACTAGAACTTCTATGTTAAGCGGCTTTGGCACAGTCTACATTGTAAAAAGCACTATAAATAAATATGAATCGAATTAAATAAATTAAACATTTTGGTTGAACTTCTAGTCTAAAATAATTAGCAAAGTGATTTTTTTAATGAGATTAAGAGGAAACAATATAAAGAACAGTAAAATGAAAATACCCACATATTAAATTTGAACACTCAAATATACCATCCTCATGTTGCCTTAAACTTTTGTGTTTTCTCAACTTTTTATTGTTTGGCAGCTGCTTAAACTAAAAGGTTTTGTAAACTTAATGTTTTAAATTATTAGGACTCCATATTTCTAGTCAACTGAACATGCAATTGGAAGTTTAACAAAAACAAATAGTATGAGCTAAGAATTAAATACACAACTGGATTAGAAATTAAAAAGCAATAAATTTGTATTATCAGAGTTTACTTTGAATACATATGGTACAAGTTATTTTATTATTATAGTAGTTTAATACAGTGTTCTCATAATATCTTTAAGTGATTTAAAATTGACATATTGATTTACTTTACCTATTATCTTCTACGCTTGCTGAATTCTCAGTTTATTAGTTTTCATTTTTTGAATATCCAAGGTAAAAGGTGGACACCCATGACATGGAGTTACACAAGGCTCAATTCTGGCACCTCTCCTGTTCAACCTTTATATGCACCCACTAAGCCAAAAAATGAGAAAGAACTAAATCTTCTACCACAGCTATGCTGATGACACTCACACTCACAAACTATTTCATGCTTGTATCAGCAGCAGGGTGGATTACTGTAATGGACCCCTCACCGGCCTTCCCAAAAAGACAGTAAAACAGTTGCAGCTGATCCAGAACCGTAGCCCCGCGGACGTTTCTGGAGACCGCGATTTACGTGGCCGGAGGTACGTAAAGGCTGCGTTTAGTTTGTTTTCGAGCGAACGCTGCGGGGCGGTGTGGCGCCGCTCCGCCCCTCCTCTTCACTCTCACCGGCCGACGGCTCGGCTTTCCCGATGCAACCAGTTTGTCCACTTAGCTCACAGCGTTGCGTCGGCGGAGTGGAGGCCCCGGAGGAGCCGGCCGCGGGGACGACGACCGGGATCGAGTCCGGGAACAGCGGTTCCGGAAATCAGGTAAGACAAAAAACGGAATCCGAAAAATAAGGGCGAGAACGCGGCGGGAAGACGAGGGCTTTTGCTTTTTTTTTTTTTTTCTGGACGGCTTTTGCGAACCGTCGCTCAGGTTTAGGGAAGGAGGAGGAAGAGGAGGGTGGCCGAGTCGGCCGATCCGGTGGCTTTTCGCACGAGTACGGCGCAGCGCGAACGGATCCGCGAAAACAAAAACCGCTCGAATACGTACCTCCCGGGACGTAAATCGCGGTCCGCAGAAACGTCCGCGGGGCTACGTTTCCACAATGAGCCCGGGTTGTCCAGAACGCTGCAGTCAGGATTCTAACCAGAACCAGAGCACATCACTCCTGTCCTCAGGTCTTAACACTGGCTCCCAGTTACATTCAGAATAGATTTTAAAATATTATTTCTTGTCTATACTATAAATCACTAAATGGCCTAACAGCTCAATACATTACAGATATACTCACTGAATACAAACCCAACAGATCACTCAGATCTTTAGGATCATATAAACTAGAAATTCCAAGAGTTCAGTCAAAGCAGGATGAATCCGCCTACAGTTATTATGCCCCCTCCCCCCCAACCCCTCTGGAATCAGCTTTCAGAAATGATCAGATGTGCTCCAACAATAGGCACATTCAAATCAACAATGGCGGTAGCGCAGTGGGTAGCACGTTCGCCTCACAGCAAGAAGGTCGCTGGTTGGAGGCTCGGCGAGGTCAGTTGGCATTTCTGTGTGGAGTTTGCATGTTCTCCCAGTGTTGGCGTGGGTTTCCTCAGGGTGCTCCGGTTTGCCCCACGAGTCCAAAGACCTGTGGTACAGGTGAATTGGGAATGCTATAACTGACCGTAATGTATGACTGTGTGTTTGAATGAGTGTGTATGGATGTTTTCCAGTGATGGGTTGCGGCTGAAAGGGCATCTGCTGCGAAAAAAAAACATTTGCTGGATATGTTGGCTGTTCATTCCACTGTGGCAACCCCAGATTAATAAAGGGACTAAGCCGAAAAGACAATGAATGAATGAATGAATGAATGAATGAATGAATGAATGAATGAATGAAAGAAATCAAGCCTGAAAACACAAAATCTGTTTAGCTGTGCTGTTACTGAATAAGCACTGTGCTTCATCCCACAGATCGCACAATTATGTCTTTTCTTTTTCATTCCTTTAATACCCATTTTAACACTTTTTAATCTGTTTTTATATTATTTGTTTTTATGTTCTTATACTTGTCTCTTTTATTGTTTGTTTATGTAAAGCACTTTGAATTGCCACTATCTATGAAATGTGCTTTAAAAACTTGCCCTGCCTAAAAATCTCTGTAAATAAATGTGGAAATTTAATCAAAAATCTAAAACGAAAAAAACAAAAAAAAAAAAAAAAGTCCACTAATGACAAACAATGTATAGTCAGTGCATAAAAAAGTAGATGCAACTACGAGTTTTCATACTGACAATAAAGATTCGAACCTTTCATCAAAACTTTTATGAAAGCCAAGAGTTTCAGAGAGATCCTGTGCATCCAGTTTAGAAATCTCTGAACATGGAAATGTAAATGAAATGAATGACGGAGATATTTCTATCATGGCATCACTGGGCCAATGAATTTCAACGGTCCAGCTGGAAAAGACAGAAATGTGTAAATCACAATTGCATGATTCTGAGCTCATATTAGAAAACTGTAAAATTTCTTTACAAACAGGACAGCAAGAGATGAACTTACACAGAGTCTGTGGTGTTTCTGGTGATGCTGAGTGAGGAGCATGCATTGAACAGACTGTGTTTCTGACCATGTTCCACCTGCAAACTGACAAATAAGAAAAAAGCTGATTTAAAAAAATAAATAAAGAAATGAAATATACACTGAACTCAGCATATATATCATATTTTTGTTTTGTTTTCTGTGGCTTTACACAGTCAGTTACTTTTTGGAACTATTTCCTACAATTATTAGATGATATGGCATTCTGTGCACCTAATTGTTCTTACAAACCATTCAAGTTGCCTCTATTTCCCAGTTGAGTGCAATTCTTACATACTTGTATATCATATCTATAAATGTATTTGTTTTGTTTAGGATAATTTATCATTTATAATTTTCTTTAGAACTTGAATGAGCTCCAGAATCTGACAGATTAAATAGCTGTAGGCTAAAAAGTCATACAGTTTCACAAATAGCCTTTCATTTACTAGCACAGACTATATTTGAAGTGTTTGAAAGTAATTTGCGTTTACCTTTGGCAGAAAAGCATTATGAGAACAATGCTTAGTGGCTCAGTGTGTTACAACAGTGTTTTTAAAATACTAAACAATTTATTGATATAGTACACAGCCAAGCATATGTGGTAAGAACATAAATGGATCGCAGGGAATTAAGCATTAAGCGTTTCTCCCAAAGAAAAGCCCTTCTAAGCAAAATGCTACTTGTAGCTTCATTTGAGCTCTTCAGAATATGGGTGACATTACGGATGCTACTTCTATATCTTTTACAGTCTATGTTTTTTGCCCAAGTAAGTTTGCATTTAGTTTGAGCAAACTTTTTAGTTTTTGTGCTCAAGATGGCTGGTTGGTTGGTTGGTTGGGTCACCATTTGTAACACACTATATGGATAACCTGCTATGGAGCAGATATTATTCTGTGTTAGAAATTCACCACAGTTTTATGATGCTCTGCGTTTGACTGAGGTAATTACTCTCCATCAAGTTTTTCTATGCTCAGGTTAGTAGGAATATTAAACACTATAGGGGCCCTGTACGGCTGAACACAGTTTATCTATCCAGCTGGTTAACTGAGAACAGTGGGATGTAGAAGAGGAGCTGATAAGCACTGTTGTAATGATTACTTAAAATCATTCAATTTCCTGGCAGTGAAAAATAACTTTGTTTTAGATTTGAATTGATTACTTTCATTTTAAAGTTAAGATTATTACTATTTTATTACAGTAACTGGTTTTAGGGGACATGCTACAAAAACAACTACACTTTGCTCTGAGCCCAACACAGGCATAATCTGCATCGTATAATAAATAATCTGATGAGTATTTTGAGCTGAAACTATACAGACACATTTTGGAGACACCAAAAACCAATCTTACATATTGTAAATGGTGTAAATTAGGAGCCCTTTAAAATGAAAGTGGGCAGTATACCGCTTTTGAATTCACTGTTGAAATTTGCATTTGAGAATGTAAAGAATCATGTAAATTATGTTTACAGGGTTACATGTTACCCTTGCACGTGTAACATGTTTACAAAATTCACTTACCTCTATGCTGCTACTTTGCACTTTGCACTCTCTTTTGCCATACTGCACCTAATTGCACTACAATAAACACCTCAACTTGGTCATATTCTGGAACAATAGGATATATGGTAATTGTTCACAGTTTATTATTGTCTATTTATTCAATTTATCTTGTACTATATTAGTTAAATGTTTAGTTTATGTCTAGTGTGTGTCATATTTTTGTTTTTAAATTGCACATTGGAGTATGGGAGAAACGCAATTTCAGTCTGCTGTGTAATGTACTGTTGCATGGTTTGATTGACAATAAAGTTGACTTGACTTGTCTAAAATAATGTGATTAATCACAATCTTTTGCCCAGCACTAATAATAACAATTTCTTGAAGATGCCTTCTTTAACTTTTGCTAGATCAGCAATGTTTAATTCCTGCCCTGTAAATGTATTTAAATTGATTATATTTCTGTTCATGATAAGTCAACTTCACTGACTCTTCACTGAAACCTTGAGGTAACTCTTGAGAAAAATGTTATCAAGCATTGTGAAATCACTAAACCAGATCTTAATCTGGTCTTATTATTTGATTTGGTCAACCAGAAACTTGAGCAGAATCCCAGAGTTCAACTCATTTTGCGGCCTAGATTTCTTCCAAACAACAGCGAGTTTATCATACCAGATGTGATGTAGATTGGGGCACATGTGACACAGCCTGAAGATCTTTGGGGGCCACTTTTCAGTCAGGCTGTCCGTGGTCAACTGCAGCTTTTTCAGACCAGACACAGAGTGCAGAGATGCCAGCAGAGCGTCCACACTCTCATCAAACGCAGGACTACTGTTGTATTAAAAATGAGACATATTCAGTTTATATTATTAGTGATTTTATATCCAAAATATTTAATAATGCAATCCTTACTGTTACCTTGCAGAAATCTCTTTGCATTTGTTATATGCTTGTAGGAAAGTTTCCCAGTCGCTGCTAGCTTTTCCCATGTTTTCTGACAGTGTGAGCTCTATGCGTGACAGCAGAGACTGTGTGCCATGTGTTCCTGTAGAGCCACTGCACTTCAGAAATACACTAAAACAGATACAAAAAAATATTCATACTGTAAATTACTGTGAAGGTGGCCAACACCGATAAAAAAATATCAGTTCATTAACAGATTCGGTATTTTGTGATTTACAGGTTTTCTGTTTACTTACATTAATGAATTGTATTAAAGGATGTTGAAAATTCAACTCTGCAGTTTAACAAAGTGACTTTTAATAACGTTTTAGTAGTTTGAAACATTATATTGTATAATAAATAGACTATAGATAATCTAGTCTAAATAACAGAAATAGTGCTGGCGGTTTATTACCAAATTGTTTTGAGAAATGCATTAACTGTTGTGCAAATGTAAATAGAGTTGTGAGAAATGCACCAAAGCAACTGAGAAAAACTGTAAAAGCACATGAGTAATGGGAAATGTTTGAGTGAACTACTACTCTCTTTAAGCAATGCAGATTTGCTTTATACCTGCTTTGCCCAGACACAGTTTTCCACATCCTGATTTCTAAGCCATGAATCTGCTCTACGCTGTCCAGCTCATCAGAATCACTTCAGAGGAAACACATATAACCAGCATTAGCCGTCTTAGCAAATATAATATAATATAACACATACATTTATATTCCATCAGTATCATAAATATTTTAAAAAATGCATTTTCTTACTTGATTTCATCGCTGCAGTCGCTGATAGATGAGGATATGCTGTCTTCATCACTATCATCTGAAATCTGTCTTACAGATGGAAACCTGTGAATATTTTATAAAATTTTACTTGAATGCAGCTGCACTTAAAGATCCAGAAAATAATTTATTGAACAAAATACTTTCAAATGAAATGAGATTTGCATATATATATACATTATCAAACGAAATGAGATGTGCATATATATATAGTCAGTGTATCCAGATAGACATAAGTAAAAATATTAATTTCACCGAAACTCATTTGATCCTTCTGAATCACTGTCCTCTTCACTCGTCTTATTGATACTGAAAAACAAGCACAAACATAATCTTTAATATGGGTATATAGAGAAATCTCACACAGAAAGGACAATGTCAGTACATATTTATCTGTTGAATGAGATGAATAGGTCTATAATATAGGCTAATGGTAATAAAAATATGAAACCTATTCATTCCCATACAGTATCTTCTTAATCAAATGCACGCAGATTACAGATATGATAAGTATGTTTGCTAATGACCCACTGTGTATTATTTTAATATTGTAAAACAATTAGCAATCTTTTTTTTATTTAATGTTAATAAAAATTTAAAATTTCTGAGAAAAAAGCTTAAATAAAAACAAATTGAAGCACATAAATATAAAAATGACCAGAGCAATTCACCAAAACATAAACTATAAAAGTAAAATATAATTCACTATGGTAATGCATTATTCCTATATGTTGTGTAAATGTGATGAGCACTACTAATTTTATTACGCATTAGTATCACTAGAGGGCGACAATGTGACGGAATAATATGATAAAGTGCAGTGTGTTTCTGTAAGCTGTGCTGTACTCGAAATCGTCCCCTCATTCCTACATTAGTCCACTAAAAGTCCATTTGAAGGAGTGAATGGAGCGTCTAAGTAAATTCAGTGAACTGAAAGAAAGCTGTTTGTGAGTGCTTTGCTGTTTGATAAATACCTCAGGCAGATTTGATTTTAAACTTCTTGTTCATACCCTGTAATTTTTATTTAACACTAAGCGAGCTGTATATTAGTAATAAAACAAAACAATGACATGTCTGTCATGTATACAAACGTTACTTTGATTAAATCGTATTTTATTTTAATTTTACCCATAGCATTCCGCTATTAGACCGCCATCTTGTGGTCAGATGCGAGAAGTCATTCGACGCGCAAACTAAGTTTAGTTTAGTTTAGTTTAGTTTAGTTTAGTTTAGTTTAGTTTAGTTTAGTTTAGTTTAGTTTAGTTTAGTTTAGTTTAGTTTAAAGCTTTATTATTCCCCTTGGGGCAATTCATTCTGACATATAGTGCTTTACATGCAAAAAAAAACAAGAATGACACACACTTAGCACAATAAATACCAAACACTTAACAACAAGTACACAATCAAAAACATAAAAAAATTAAAATAATAATAACTTTAATTAAAAAAAAGAATCCATCGATCAACTACATTTATTATGTAACCAAATTATCTCAGGCAATCGATTGTACATGGGCTGTCATTGAAGTGCAAATGTGGGATCGAGTGCACTTCAGTGACACCATTAGAAATGACTACTCCCTCAAATAGTACTGTTTTAGGGTATAGTGGTATATTTACCTAACTGAAAAAAAAACAGCTTAAACCGGCCTAGGCTGGTGGGCTGGTTTAAGCAGTTTTTTTTTTCAACAGGGTTGGATACAGCCCTAGTATTATGCTCTCTTTTCATGCTCAAATTAAGGTAATCACAACACTGTTCTTTAATAATGTATTAATTGGTTTAATGAGTTAAAGAATCACTAAAGCCTCACCTAGAGAATTCATTCCTGTAGTCCATCTTGATGTTCACCTTTTTTGACTCAGGCAGCTCGGAAGTCAAAAAACTGAGCCACAAAAATACAACGGCAGAAAAGGCAAATAATTATTTTTTTTAATTCTTTATATTCAGTATTTGGCATGCATGCAGTACAGTATTTATGTATCAGTAAGTCTCTGTGTCTGCTTTAAAAAAAAAACTCATTCATCTCTACTACACTATCAAAAGAAGCATCCTGAATTATCTCACCTCAATGTATTTAGACTGGGGTTCGATTGAATGAGATCCAGGACTCTGGACGCTCCATCAACAGTCATGAATTTGAAATTAAGATCCACCTTCTTCAAACCAGAGACTGAATGTAGGAATAAGAGCAAATCACTTACACTCTCATCATACTCTGGAGAACTGTAAAAAAAAAAAAAAAAAAACATTTTTAAATACTTGTAAAATGAAAAAACTGTCACTGTCAGCAATCGTACACGCAAACACACTCTTTCTCATGTCAAACTCTTAAAACACTTACCACTCAGTCAAGTCTTTCAGCTGGTTGTAGGCCTGAAAGAATCTCCTCCAGTCAGCGTTTGCATTCTCGGGCTCATCTGTCACTGTGAGGGCGATGCAGGGAAGAACTTTGTGCTCCGGAGGTTTAAAGAAGTCGATATCATAATTATCTATATAATTTAGATGGTTACAGCCGACAGACAGCCTGCAAAACAACACAGGGGAGCAACGGATTATGCTAAAGTTTAAAGTATGAGTTCAACCAATTATGAATTATGATTATTATGGATTTACTTTTTCCATTTTCCTTATAAAGCAATTTCAAAAAGCATTATAGGAAGATCAGGAAACAAAAGAAATGGTCATCTTTATACAACATACTTTATATGTACAGGGTTTGTCCTACATTGAAAATTATTTGGCGACTGCCAAAACAATTTTTTTCCCCACCAAAACCTTATTTGAACACTAATCGTGTTTTGAAAATGAAGCTGGAGCGATAGTTTTAAAATGATAAATTGTGATACCCTAAACAAATATAGTTTGTTATCATTGATGTAAAACAAGTAAAACAAGTTGTCATCGTTTTCTATTGCTATCTGTTCTGACAGTGTTGAGTTTTTCCTAAATAAATAGGATAATTGAAAAACACATACTGTTATTGATAATGTATTTTAATATTAGGCTCACTGATTACAAGGGTATTTTTTACCATGTGTAGATGATCATGCCGATTAGAAATATATTATATATATTTATTTATAGGAGTTGGACAATGAAACTTCACATATATACATACATACATATATATGTACATACATATACTCTCTTTGTTTAAATTTAAGCTTTGATATATATATATATATATATATATATATATATATATATATATATATATATATATATATATATATACATACATATATATATATATATATATATATCCCCCTATATCTCTATATCTGTACATCTATACATAGATATCGAGACAGGTAGACCCATACAAGGATATTCTGACAGAGAGACTCATAATTTTTTTTTCGTGGCGAGAAAGACAGATGTTTTTAATTGTGGAG